CCCTACAAACTGTATCCTTTCTAGCAAGGATATCATTCTCCTTATTATCCTTTCTGTACCAAGTGCTTCTCTTTCCACCCCTCACCTCCCGAATTTATATATTAAATATATAAACGTACTTAAACTTTCTGCAGAATTCAGAATGCTCAGTCAAGTGCTTCACTTTGTACTCTATTTAGGTTGCTGATAAATACAGCCTAAAAATCACTGCTAGATCATACGTTAAAAAGCCCCCCCCCCCAAAAAAAGCATGGGAAATATTAAACTTAAAGAAAAATAACAATAGTTATAAAAATTCGATTTTTATAATAGAAATGATATTTTAAGCTGAAATCTGTCTTGTAAGTAGAAGCATAAGGAGACAACTATAAAGAATAAAATTGCAATTTATTAAATTTTGCACTTGTGTAGAAGCAGAAAATTAGATGAAGATTTTTTTTTTTCCCAACTGTATTGATTTTCTGTGGCTATTGTAACTAATTACCACAGACTGGTTGGTAAGCCAGAAATTTATTCTCTCACAATTCTGGAGGCCAGAAGTCTGAAATCAAGATGTTGGCAGGGCCACACTCCCTCTGGTGCGCTGGAAGAGAATCTTTTCCTTGTCTCTTCCAGCTTCTGGTGGCTGTAAGCAGTCCTGACGAATGTATGGCTGTCTCACTCAGATCTCTGCCTTGGTGGTCACATTGCCTCCTCTTGGTGGGTCTTAAATCTCTCCTGTGTGCCACTTAAAAGGATACCTGTCATTGGATCTAGGTCCCATCTATACAACCTGGAATGATCTCATCTCAAGAGCCTTAATTACATCTGCAAAGACCTTTCCAAATAAGGTAGCATTCACCAGTTCCAGGGATTAGGACATAGATATGCCTTTTTTGGGGACCCCCATTCAGCCTTCTAGATCACCATTTCAATGATTAAAGTCCATTCATTTCTCTAATATTTCAAAATAATGTTGGTTGTTTCTTTGCAGTTAGGCAGTTTTATGTTACAGACCTTTTCCTAGCATTTTCAGAGTATTTTTTCCATCTATTTCAATTAAAATGTAGCCTCTATCTATTCAAAACATGAAAAACAATATGGAGCCTCAGACACTTGTAATTTCATTGATTGCTTAAAGCAAGAGTGATCTTAGATTTGGAGGAAGACTAGAAAATGCATGTTTGTTGGGCAAATTCAGAGACAGTACTCCATTTATGTTGTACCACTTATTTATATTGATGTTTTCAAGTCCCAGAATTTGTAAATAGTCTGTCAGTTTCTCAGTTGAAGCTGATGGTGGCTGGGAGCTCAGCTTGGGCATTGAGAAAATGTGCCTTCTCCATACGACTTGATTTTCCTCACAGCGTGGTGATTCAAGTTGGTTGGACTAAGATAGCATCAATTCTGCTGTACTTTTAAAAACGAAGCAAAGATCCATTCATATTTAAGAGGTGAGGACATATACCCTACTTCTCAATGGGAGAAGTGACAAAGAATTTGGGGCCATATTTTAAAATTGCCACACCACGTTTCATTCTGTTTGAAGTATTTTACAGTTCTACCTCGATAATCTTTGCCTGAAAGATCATTGACTTCGGAACAGTATAATATTACCTACGTGGCCACAGTCCCCAGGGTTCTGTATTGTGCTAAGCCCGTGGTTCAAAATCCTGTCCATGCTTTAAAATCACCTGGAGAAATTTTTTTTAAATACCTATACCTGAACTGCACACTCAGAGATTTCTAATGTACTTGATCTGGAATTGGACTTGGGTATTAAGCTCTTTTCAATTCCTAGTGTCTTGTTCCTTTGCACATGCTAATTGTATGGTTATTCATCGATTCCTTTGGATGCCTCTGACTCAGTGGTTTCAGAAATGGATCCTCAGGTCCCATCAGTGAGGACAGGAAGAGTTGGGCAGGTGTATTGCTCTCTGGAATAGGTGCAGAGGTTTCAAAGGGCTGGGTCTTCCTGGTTTATGGCTATGTCATCACTGGTTTTCGGAAGGAGATGAGATTGTAAATGAGAAATCTGATGGGCAGGTGGAGGTTAACAGAAGAATGAATAGCAAGGGCTGTGATCAGAATATACACAGATGATGACTGACATTCCTCTGTATACAAGACGTACTGCATGCCTTCTCAAACTTGGAAATAGTCTTTTGCCCTTTTGGGGTTCTGAATCTCAAGATTTATCACACTTTACAGAAAGAATAAATGTAGTGAAATACAATCCATGTCATTTAGTCTGAATTGTCCAGTTAATGGATCAGCTTCCTCTGATATTTTCCTTTCTTTCTGCACTGCAAGCACAGTCATCTTGGCGTAACATCTGTTCGCAAGAGTTCAGTCACAGAAGGGAATTAGAAACTGATTTTTCACCACATGGATAACAGAAGGACCTTGACTTCATATCCTGGCAATTCTGAGGTCTCTGAGTGGATCAGTTTAACGGTTCTTCTTAAACTGAGGGCTGCCATTTGTCTTCAGCTATTCCTGGGTCTGAGGATGTGATATATTTGCTTCTCTAACTGCTTGCAGGTTCAGAGAAGGCAGAAAATTTATTCTTGGCTGACCATAAGCAATGTCAGAAGGAGAATGAGTTCATGATTGGTTCCTCCTCATGGCCTTAGCAACAATTTTTAAAAAAAGATATTAATACCAAAGGGCAGTTATGGCTCCCATCTCAAATGACATCCAGATGTCCAGCTGTTCAAAGAGAGCTGCTTAAGCTGTGGTTACATGTCCCATAGGGAACAGAGGGGATTCATTCTTTATCTTTACAGACTCCTTGTCATCCTGGGCACTATTGAGCAAGGTCAGTTTCCTTAATGATTGTGTGATTTGCGTCCTCATTTAATGAAAAGATAGCATATTTTGTGTGCATGTTTGCACGTGTGTACTTATGTGTGCATGTTATAGGCAAGGTTGCAGGGAGTGGGTTGTGCTGTAACATTTCAGACCACAACAGATAGGATGGATTTTGAGCTGGGTTAGGTGTTTCCGGGAATAATGTGATAATGGAGAGTGTATAGTGGGACACCCCTTTACATGATGCTACATTTATGCTGCAGGTTTGGGCGTGGTTGTTTGGAGAGACCACAATGTTTGGAGGGTAAAAATGGAGATTGACCACTGCCCTGGAACCGAGATTCTGGATAAAACGGGGGACAGGCGTCCTGTTAATCTCCAGAGCCTTATCTAGAAGGGAAGGAATTCACTTTGAGTAGTGGAGAGACATAGGTTCTAGATCAAGCTTGGCCTAGGTCAAGCTACCTAGGCCTCAGTTTTTTTCTTTAAAATGGTTTGTCTGATTT